CCCCCCCCCCCCCACCCTGGACGGCTGTAATGCCGTCCCACCACCTCTTACCTATAGCGTCGAGGGGCCACCTCTAGACGCTGTCTTCTCGTGGGCCGACCGCGAAAGGAGGTGGTACCCTGAGTACCACCTCCTCGGCCCGGATGCCCCGCGGGCGACGCGAGGGTCATCGCGGCTGTGACCCTGTGAATCGCGCCACCCGACCCTCAATTTGACATAGGTCATGTTGCAAAACTTTCTGACAATTTGCTTTACCATTTTGTCAGCTGACGTTGCCTCCAAAACCAAGTCAAATGCGGAAACAGGTGGCTATGGTTTATTGGACAATTTTGTCATTTATTGCTGGCAATTTGCCTTCAAATCTCCGAAACGTCTTCACCTACAAAAAAATATATATATCACATAATGTATCCTTCCAAACCACACAAATTTTCTAGAGAAATTTTTTTATACAATGCATACTTTAGAAGTCGTTCAGGGTGAACAAGTTATGTGGACCACCCTTATATACCTATAGTCTATGATATTTCAGAATATGCGACACAAAGTCGCATAAGATGTTAGGTCTATTCTATATCTCCTCTGCGGTACAACTCAGTGTTATAGGATTAAGCTCAATTTCTTATGCACTAGCTTTTGTTTCCACTTCCTTCTCGAATCAGGTTACTGCTACCAAAAGCTATACTGGGAAGGCCTCGATACGAAATCGTGGCATCGTGAAGCAAATATGGAAATGACTACTTCTTCACCGCGAATCTGGTATTTTCTAAATTGTTAGTTGCATACTTATCTGCGCGTGACTGAATAATTATACGGTCAGCTGGGCTAAGGTATTCGTGATCATTGTGCGATCCCAGTGCTGCCAGTAATATAAATTTCTATCACGTGCTGTCGCGCTGCGACACTGCGTGGTCATATGCTCGCAAATTACCAAATTATCATGCCAATTAACGGAATACCGGGTGTAGTAATGGCCGGTCGTCTTTGGAAACCGAGAACCTGCGTTACTAGATCAGTTGATTCATAAATTTTAATGCAACGTGGTTATAGTATGAACGCGCACACATTCGACCGCTTTCATCTGGGAATAGCATTTTAATTTATGGTATGATGATAGGCACCGCGCATCTTCCCCGTAATTTTCTCTCGTTTTCATACGAAAGTACCTTACATTGATGATATTCAGTCTGTGTATGAGGTGTTTCCGAAACCGTAGTACAACCCTGAAGGAGGTAATTCCTCATGTAAAAGTACAGTATATTGGATTTCTGGTTGGATAAACGAATGGTGGATTTATCTGAAAATATAATAACAAATATTGTTCATACGGTTACTATAAATAAATATTAAAATTAACAACCGTTTAAACAATGTCCAATATATATGTAAAAAGTATATTTAGTGTCATACGCGTTATATACGAGGGGCCTGTCAAATTTTGTATGTATCTTAAAATTAGATTCGAGGAATATCTTCCTCTTTCCTCCATTCTAACGAATGTGACTACTTTTCCAGAAAAATAAGTTATTCATTTAGATGCTACTAATATGGAGTAACAGGAAAGCTCAACCTGTATATGTATAATTGTACACCCATTTCAGTTTAATAGACAATTAATGTTTTAACTTCATTCCATTGAGTTTATTAGGTATAATATTTTATTTCTGACTCATAATCAGTCATCATGACATACTCAACGTTAAATTTTCATATTATCTTCAAGATATTCAAACCTATTGTTCTATGATTTTATTATTGAGAACCTTCTGTTAATATTTTCCAGTACAGATCACTGGACAAAGAATTAAACATTTACTAATACTTTTATACATATATTTAGAAGTGTCTTGGAAGTAAAATATTATAAGTAACAAATTTAAGAGAATATACTGAAAAAATTAAGTGTTTCTTAAGTAGAAATAGTTGTACAATTATATACAGGTTGAGATTTTTAATTATTTCATATATGTAATATTTATACGAATAATCATTTATGTAAAACAGTATTATTGGTTTAGTTTTATTTTGTACTATTGTAATAAATTTTGCACTATAACGCCCTAGGAACACACATTTTTTTTAATAGGTATTAATTTCATGTATAAACTCCATATGTATGAATTATTAACTTTTTGCAGCTTTTCAATTTCTATGATCAACCACCTTAAAGACATTTAACATTCTTAAGCCCAACACTAACTTTGTTATAAGTTTATCTACTTACATAACTACATACTCATATTCAATATGAATTAAGCATAATACGAAATGTAGTTGATTATAACTGAAAACATCTAAAAACATTGAAACATTTTATTAAAACAATATTATATACACTTCGCTTTTTGTAATGAAATATACGAGTGAAACGCGACACCGTATGTATTCCGTCCTGGGCGTGCTGGACGATAGAGTGGGGTGCGCGCACGTGTGTGAGAAATACGTGTGAGAAGGGCGTTCCCATGTTACAATAAAAGGGTCAGCAATAAACGAATGTCTATTGTAATTATCAATTGTATTTAATTTTATATTGTTCTGACCATATTTCATTTTAATGCTGGTTAAATGATTTTAAATTTACAAAAATTAACTTACATTTTCTTTCTTACATTTTACAATATGTACAATTTTTTAAAAACAGCGCATATGTAGTTTATTCTACAGAAACCTACTGTATCAATAGAGTGATAAGTTTCAGGTTGTCGCCACCAAAAGAATATTGGGCGCACATTGACGAATGTCTAGTTATGCTTTTTAAACACTGTGTGTTTAACATTTTATTTATTTACATGTTAAAAACATCCAACAATAAATTTCGTAAAACGTAGCTTATGAATGATAAATAAAAATATTGAAACTAAAGCTACTAGGTAATGTTTATGATTATATACACGTTAATCTAAAAATTAAGTGACTTTTTATTTCTAAATTCATTTTCTCAGTCATAAATGATTCAAAGTGTTGTGCGAAAATTTTTTGGTTTTCAATTTATCTCAGGTAAGTGAGTTAACTAATAAAATGAATGTAACGTTTACATGCACGGTAGTGGAATAAACAGTAAATCTAACCTCTATTTTTAACACTTTCTCCAACTATTTTTCATATCTTCGTAATAGTAGGGAATCGATTTCTAGCATACTTGTAATTTGTATGTTGTAGATCCTGTTCGATTATGAATCCTGATATTCAACAAAAGATTTTAAAGTTTGAAACATTTATCAATGATGTATTAAGAGAAGATCTTGCTAAATTAGAGCAGAAGCTTGACACTAAAAATGCAGATGTTGCTGAGTTCCTGCAGTTGAAGTCTATGATTACTACTCTTCAGACTAATGACTTTGATAAAAATGGTTTTAAAACCCAAGTAGATGTTGGTCAAAATTTCTTTATCGAGGCACATGTTCCTGATGCATCCACAATCCTCTTGGACATTGGTTTGGGACATTATGTGGAATTTGCTCTAAATGATGCCTTAACAATTATCAATGTACGAATTAAATTGCTGGAACAGCAGATTGCACATTTTCGCAAAGAGATAGCAAAAACAAATGCTCACATAAAACTAATTCTTCTTGGTATTAGGGAATTGCAAGGTTTCAAAGATTAATTCCATAATGTTATTATATATATATAAAATACATTCAGCTGAATTGATTAGTTTCTTATTCATGTAAATGTAGAAAAGGCTTCTACTTGGATTTCAATTTTCAATTTGTAAAACATGCTGATAATTATATTTTATCACTTTAAGTGATGTCATATCAATATATTTTACAAACTAAAAGATTGAGTTTGGTTGTCTACGTCACATGTATTCCTGTAACTAAGAAAACCAAGTCAACTGTATCTACGAATTGCAGAAGATTTTGTCACAGAGTATAATTCTGTAACTTTGCTCTTGTATATAATCTTGTGTCAACTGTCTGTACATATTAAATCATAATGAATAAATATTGTGTATTCAGTCTTAAAATTTTACTGCCTTTATAATTCTCTCTACTGGCACTGCTCTGCATAATTCATATATGGGTGCTACCTTAATGCAGACTGTTCAATGTGCCCTATTAATTCCGTAGTCCAAACGTTGTGCTTTTGTTTCCTCGTTACGTGCAATTATGTGAATTTGCGAGGACCTTGGGCTTTGCTTATATATGATAGAGGTCAGCCGCGAGGGGATCAGTACGTTCGTTCCTCCGTGTAGTTTTCTCAAGTTTTCTCGCACGAAACGTTCTTTTCATGTCGGATTGGCGTAGCATACCATGCGTAGAAAAGCACAAAGAATTCCTCGAGAAACTTATCACGGTTTTAATCGATAGCACCTTCGAAAGTGTGTCCCGCGAAAATCCTGTATTGAGATGGAGGGATCCAGCTCACTTGCAAGACATCATAAAGTTCGATGTGCAAGACGGGCCACGGAGCCAGGATAATCTCTTGGAAATCGCTAGCAAAGTCTTTAAATATAGCATTAAAACTGGACATCCTTACTTCATGAATCAGTTATTTTCTGGGTACGATATGTAATGTTTATGTTGCAATCTTTATTTTTAAAATGTTTCATTTTTTTAAAGTTAACGTCACACGTGTTACTTATAGTACAAAACTGAAGAATGAAGATCTACTCTTACTATAATTAACACAACATTAAAATGACTATGTTCCTTTCATGATCTTATAAATGTCTTTATTAAGAATTTAATGTTGCACCTATTGTACGTACTAATCATTAATGACGTTATATCGCACAAAATATCGTCCAATACGTAGTTCCACCATTCAGGAAAATGTCACAAGGTGAAGTTCAATACTTCAAGCGACATGGTGCATAGTGTCAATTTGTTTAATATATGAAGTGCTACGTGAATGAATTAGTTTTTTCGCTCTCCTGAAAAATTACGTTTTTGATTTGTGACACTTTTCTTGCGGATATGCGATATGCTTGCATTAATTTTTATATTTGCATGTTAAATTAATGTCTTTAGTGCATTTGTTGTTTCTGAAATGATGAAAATGTTTGAAATCATGTTTTGTTATAGAAAATATAATTTTTCTTATAACTGATATTTCACCCGGTTATGAAATTTTTGAACATTTTAGAAACATATTTATAATTTGCTTAAAAAAGTTCCTACACTGTTGAACTAGATCTATTGATTGCTCTATTAATGGTTTCTTCGAATGTTAATGATTTCTCGTATATAAAGGGCCCTAAATACTCGGGAAAATAATAGTCAATTGAGAAAAAATTGTATTCCTTATCATAATTGCATAATTTTATAATATAGATTATGTATTTTGTAACTCATTACGAAGTGAAAAATGGAAACAATATATAGTTTCTTAAGACGATAAGGTACATAAACACTCTAAATTTTAACGAGATACGAAAGTACTTGTAAATTTGATATATATATATATATTACAATGTATAGTATAATTAAAAATTATTATACATGTTTAATGAGTCTCTCTATTTGAAAGAAATTAATAGAAATTTAAATGTAAAAATAGGAAATACAATTTCTTTTGTTTTCACACTCTACAGTAAAAAAATACGTGGCTCTCACTTTATATTAATCTCATGAGTAGGTATTTGAGTGGAGGTTAATGATATTCGCAATTAATGTTCCGATATTTTAATGTAAATTTTATGCGATTTTTTAAGAGTTTTTACGTCGTATCAACTGCTTGTTGTATATCAAATGACCAATTTTATTGACATGTATATTTGACTATATTTTTATGAGTTAAAATTGTTAATAAAGTTCGCTGATTCCATGTTAACTTGAAACGAAATTAGTATTTTCAAAGCGCTACATACTTGTATGCTTTATTTGACACTTTTATAGTATATCATAAATCATATAACTAGTCATCATACGGACAATTTTATTTAAAGTAAGACTACTAAAGTAAGCATACTAAAATGATAAACCTTTTACACCAACTTAATGTATTAGTATGTATTATAATACCAAAGTTGATGAAAACGTATCTAATTCTTTTGTGTAATTGATAAGTCAAAGAATTTCAGAAGTTTGAAAAGAATCATCGTTATTTCGTTAACAGAATTATTCTCATATACAACATTATGCGAACAGTTTTATATAACACAGATTGGATCCTTATGGGTTAGCCGGACAATGGCTCACCGATGTATTAAACTCTTCGGTGTACACTTATGAGGTGGCACCGGTTTTAACATTAATGGAGAAGACTGTGATTACAAAATTGCTGAGCATGTTTTACAAGGATGAAAATGGTGCTACCGTTGGAGATGGTCTTTTCTGCCCAGGAGGTTCTTTCTCTAATGGCATCGCCATTAATTTGGCCCGGTTTTGGTTCAGGAAGACAACGCAAAGCGTAAGTAGTAATTTGTCCATACATAATTTCGACATGAACTGAAGGTAAAGTTTACCGTGGGAATTTTTTAAAATTTTTATACAGTTTATATTTTAATGTATCTGATTTTTCTAAACTGATGGTACAACGTAAACCTAACTTAGTTATACATAACAAAGACAGTAAAACTATTGAATAACATTTTTTGTATGAAATTCTTATTATGATCAATTTTATTCTTAAAATTCGGCAATTTCGTTTGCTTTCTAATGCAATTGATAATGTGTCTGCCTATTACTCACTATTTCTGCTTATAATAAACATTGTTTCATGATATGATATCTGATTCCCATATATCTTACTATACCTTCTACCAGTTTATTATTTGTAATAATATTTGTAAGCATTACCATACATTGGGCCCTAATAGTTTCGAATCATTTAATAATTGGAAGCGATGAAATCATGCAAGTTGTACAATAAATTTTGTCCCGATTCGAAATTAATATTTTTAGCACCAATTACTCCCCAGATAGCACATGACGTCTTAAAAACGCCTTCTTTACGGCTATTTTAGGTCTAAGGCGCGTTTAAGCTGTCTTCAAGGCGTCATGTGCTATCTGAGTCGTAGTTCTTAATTCTTTACTTAATTAAATTCTTAGTTTTTATCTTTCGTAAATGGAAGCAATTGTTTAAAGTTTGTCTAACAAGTGTATCTCTATTTCTTTTAATTTATAATACGTATTTTGTAAATATAACTGTTGATACTTTAGATTTTTGGGTATTAAGATATCGGGGATAGAATAAAGATTGGCTTATTTAAAATTTTAATATGACTTACGTACAGTGTGTTTAATATACAACATTGTCTTTCATGACAGAGAGAAATATTTTAGACAAAAATTTAAAAAGTAATTTTTAAGAGCTTATTGTAAGAGTAATTTTTAACGCTAATAATATTAAACAGTTGATTATCACTAATGAAAAAATATATTGTGTTATTTGAATCGAAGTATATCTATAACAAAACATCATTCTGTGGACGTTCTTCTTGAGGCCAAGTATTTTTTGTCGGAAGTTCTTTTTCATGACTAAAAGTAAAATATTTATTCAGATATCCTGTTTTAAATACTTCATAATGTATAATCAATATAGTTATTACGTTTTATCTTTATATTGCATACACATGGAAGATATAATATTTTTGTTGCAGTTGTACTAATATGTATTAATGTATTTACATTTTAGAGTAAAAGAATATCATCTTCCAATCTGGTGCTCTTCACGTCCCAAGATGCACATTATTCGGTCCTAAAGTGGGCAAATGTCTGTGATGTGAAAGTCATTCTTATAAAAACCGACAGTTCTGGTAAAATGGATATCACTGATTTGAGGGCAAACATAATTGAAGAACAAAAGAAAGGAAATTATCCGTTTTCTGTTTCCGCCACTGCAGGTATGTTAAAGAACATTGCAAAATTATTATGCCCGAAGATGTAAAACGTATATTACACAAAAAATAATTGTAAATAATATACATGTATAATAATAATTATTTTTAGGAACGACAGTATTGGGTGCCTTTGACCCTTTAATCGAAATTGCAGACATTTGTCAGGAATACAATATGTGGATGCACGTTGATGCAGCTTGGGGTGGTGGTTTAATATTCAGTAAAAAACACAGTGTCCTTTTGCGAGGAATACAAAGAGCAGATTCCATTCTGTTTAATCCACATAAATTACTAGCTGTTCCTCAACAATGTTCACTTCTTCTAACTAGGCATCAGAATATTTTTAAAGATGCACATTCCCAGCAGGCCTCTTATCTTTTTCAAAAAGATAAATTCTACTCTGCAGACTTAGATGTTGGAGACAAGTATTTGCAGTGTGGACGCAGACCAGATACATTAAAATTTTGGTTCATGTGGCAGGCTAAGGTAATTTGGTGTACAAGTTATTCATTTAGTTTAGTCAAAATATTTTCTATGAAAGAAAGCTCGTTTCTTAAGTATCTTCTATGCAATGTGCTCACTACAAAAGATAAGACTTACTCGTACGCCATAAAGGTTCTTCTATTCCCCTTATTAATTTCAAAGTTTCAACCACTTATGCAAATTTTTAGAAAACTAGCCTTGGTAGCACTTTTTCCCCTGATTTTCCCCTGATCTTCCTTTAATTGTGCGCCTTGTACTTTGTGGCTTAAGCTGCAGCTGCGGTGCATTCTGGAGAAGTTAAGGGTCTATATGCCATATTTCAAGTGTTTGCCAGTATACTTGTGCATACATTACTTTCCCCTGGTAGGAATAAAGAATGTTCATACTCCACCTATTCATTAGATTTTCAAGATTGTAAAGGAAGCTTGTGAAATTCTCAAAGGGGTCTGCCGATAGCAGTGCTTCTGGACTGGGAACTTCCACAGTTCTTGTCTGTTAGTCAAGTATTTCTACATTAAATAATCATCAACACATTTTAGTCTCAACTGGATTTTTTTAAATCATATATTTATATCATTTACATCTAGAAAGTACTTAAAAGATCACTGCTTTCATACATGTTAAAATACATGATCAACTCTGTCAGATAATTCTTCATTATTTAACACATTATTGAGAGGTGTATGGTATACTTAAGAAAATACAGTATTATATAGAAGTATGAAATCAATTCTGTAATTATTACTATATGAATAATTATTTTTGGGTACATATCTACCATAATGAGTAATTTATCACTCACTATGTAATATACGGGTTACCATGAAAGCTGTCATGAATTATGCTGTATTTAATAATTGTAATCAGTAGGAAAGAAATATCCAGTATATTGCATATTTCTGTATTAACTGAATATTTTTAGTAATGATTATTAATAGAGTGAACAATATTGCATGACTGTCTCACAAGTATCTTTGAGAAATATTTTGCTAAATTAATTCAACTAAGAAATGTAGTTTCTTATGTAATGCAATAAGAGACATTAAATAAATAACAATTTAAATATTATGTTTTACTATAACAGTTTGTAAATTCTGTTAATAATCTTTGGTGGTTGTTAGTACGTAATATATAATAGCTTGTAAAATAACAGTACAGTTTCTTATCATTTCCTAAAACTACTGTGCATTCTAGAGTTTCATCAACGTGTAAGCACATTCTTTAATAAGTTATTAATTTTTAAAAATAAAATTATAATAAGGATGTAATGCTTATTATGCTACTTAATACCACATACTGTGTTCACCTGTTTGTTCGGAAATTGCGTGTTATTTATGTGTTACTTTCATTGATATTTTGTTTTAGGGTACTTCAGGTTTCGAAAAACATGTCAACCATTTGATGACACTTTCGGCTCTGTTTAAAGAAGAAGTAGAGAAAAGAGATGGTTTTGAATTAGTAACTGATTCGTGTTTTATAAATGTTTGTTTTTGGTTTATCCCACCATCTTTGAGAAGCCAGTATTCATTATACAATTATAAAGAACAAATAAATTCAGTAAGTAAAATAATTTTTTCTAATAAAAACTTAAGTGTAAAAGTGATACTATTTAAAGTAACAATTGGTATATACCAGTTTTTAAAGTGTTCAAAAGATCACGGTATGATCGATTTATTCCTGGAATGTTTAAGTTGTATGTTTTATTCTTCCTATTTAATATAGGACAAAATGACTAATATTAATCAGTATAATAAGTGTTATTTACACTTATAAGTATTAAAATTTCATCATGTTTCATGTCTTCTACATTGTTTTATAATATTTGTCTAACTTTAATAAAGGATTTATAATTTGGAGTTTGTATTGTGTCTCCAATGTGTACTTCTTGATGGATATTAGAAAACAGTTTTTACTAATAATTCTATTAAAATTATATTTTTATCTCGATAGAAAAATAGAAACATAGCGATATTAGGTGCATTGCATATCGCACTTGGCGCGCACGCACGGCTTGCATGCCAATCAAATCTCTGAATTTTGACATGCCAAACTACCGTTCGGTTTGATTTATAACCGCGCGAAGTTTGAATCGGATGTGCAACATGGTTGAATGTAATAGGGAAAGGAAATACGGGTGAAATTAGTGTAAATTTAAAACGAATAAAAATTGTCATTGGCACGTAGTATTTAAGGTAGCATGTTAATAATAAAATATGTTTTTAACGATCGATTCAAACTTCGCGTGGTTATACATCAAACCATAAAGTTGGTTTGGCATGTAAAAATTGACAGATTTGATTGGCGTGCACGCCGGGCGCGATCGCCAGGAGCGTATGTGTAAATGCACTTATTTAATTTGCCTTTTGAAGCAAGTAATGTTTCTTCATATTTTTTCAATAAGCTTTAGAACTATCATGCCATCAATAGGTATTGCAGGAAACTATGTTAACATTTGTTGATATATACTTTTTCTCCACTTATCGACTGTAGGCACATAATTTAGTCGATGAAGTAAATTTTCTTTTTGCTAACAATCGGTGCAAAGAATATCGTGCATAACCACAGACAAGATGTGTATCTCGTCTGTGGCATCACAAACTTAGGATCGGTATCCTAAATTTGTTATGCATAGTGTAAGTAAATTGACATCTGATAGGTTTAATGTACTAATCTTTAATTATTTATAACGGTTAATTATTTAAAAAATGGGCCTTGTAATTATTGTTTTTAATTAGGTTGCACCAAAATTAAAAGAAAAGATGACCAAAAGGGGTAGTTTAATGATCAACTACCAACCACTTCATGAAAAACCAAATTTCTTCAGATTCGTAATTCAAAATTCGGGAGTAGATACAGAGGATATCTACTATGTCTTTGATGAGTTGGAAAACCTTGGAGAATCCATGTGACTTTATGTATAATCAACAAAAATGACGCTTATATAGTTGAATGTACAGAAATTAATTAGTGTTATATAAATTTCGAAACAAATAAATGAAACAGTTGATCATATCATAAAAGTAAGGTTTCATTTTATTTATTTCCTATCTGCAATATTTACATTTAACTTATTTGACGAGCGCAACAAATATGTTTCTCAGGTTAATGATGACTAAGTTTTAGCACGCATATTTTCATAGTAGTAATAAATAATAGGGGAAAAATTCATAATTTATTATACATGGTGTTTCCACAATGATGGTACAACCCGAAAGGATGTCATTCTGCATGTGAAAATAAGTCGAAAATGTAGGATAACATTTTTTTGTACGATGCAGCTCTTCCAAGATAATAAAGGTTCAAGATTCATCTGAATGAAATTCATAGTGATGATAAGTAGAAATGGAATGCAATGAGTAGACGCGTTAGTCAAATTCTATACAATCGTACGCGTATTCAGCAGACTTTTATGTAGAATCACTTCTTTTTAGGCTGTACCATTTCACAAACACCCTCTATATTATGTCAGATGATTAGTATAATAATTTTACAATGAACTTAGTTTTCAAAATTTCTCGTGGAGATATTTATCTTTAGAATATTGTGAAACCACTGATTGAAGTTTAATTTCAATCATTACGATTTTCTGCGAATAGAGAATTTATTTTCATGAAAAGGACGAAAATGGACGAAATGACATGAAATTTTAGTGTCATACTTTTCCAACTTTTATAAAGGTAAGAGAACACTTGTCTTCTAGGTTTTTAATTCTGATTATTTTTAGTACACAGAAGGAGAGTCTGCTCTCAAAATGTTACGAAGAGTAGAAGTTATTACTTGAATTGAATTTTATTGAGTTTAAAAATTTGTACGTTTCCATTCAAAAGATTTGAAAGAAAACGCCTGTGCAATATCATTGTATAAAATCATTCAAGAAGGTATGATTTTAGCAATTTCACACATTTTTTAATACAACTTGCCTGTGATAGTCTTCAAACATTATATTTTCAGAGAATATGTACAAAGGAATGTTCGATTTAGCGTAGCTTTACGTGTGATGACAATAGAGATCCCAACCATTTCTCAGCGAAAGAAATAACGAATTCTGGCCACGAAAATCAATTCCTCTAGGTTAACTAGGCGAAACCTACCAGGCAGTTGATCTGATTAGGACCAGCACTAAATTTCTGATGTCAAGGTACGAAGTCAATTCGTGACTACGTTCGTCGCAGAGCCCGCGGCGTCGCGACGTACCCGACAACTAATCCTGATACAAGTGGCAGCATATAGAGAAGCCCTATGTATATCTGTAGAACTGCGTTCGTATTATGTAGAACAATGATTTGTTACCGCGACTATATTCCAATCTATCGTAGCTGACGTCTCTTCATGTCCTTTTCGAATAAATCGTCTTGAAACGACATTCAATCGTGATTCACATTGTGGTTATCTCACAATCATAGTAACATAAACGTTTCTCGAATCAGAAAGTGTTAACAGCTGGCTGAGAACCATTTTATAAGAATACTGTATTTCTTCTATTACCGTCAAATTTAAGTCGATGTAATGACATTTTTATAGTTGCATGTTTGGTGATTCCACTATTTCTTTTTCTACACTTATTTCTGCATGGAGGATTATTCAAGGGAATGAGATTACTTCGACACGCCAGTCAACTTTGTAACACATGCCACATTCTTGTAACTTTTTTAAGCTTTATTGTTCGATTAAAATATTTCCGATATACATGTATAAACATAACTTTTCTTCATTGATTCATCCCATACTGAGAATCGTTAGACAAATTAATCGAAGATGTTATTAACATTGGTTGTTTCTGAATCTATAGCTTTTCCTCTTCTTCATTTGTAAAAGTATGTTTCCGTTTTTATCTTTTATATTTTAATTATTTTAAAGGCAGATCTTTATTTACTCCGTCTTCTTTCTATAAGTTTCTAATTAATTCATTACATGTTCTCACAGCAATTAATGTAGTTCGTGTTGTTGAAGAATAAAATTATATATCAAGAATTATATGTAAGATAAAAATTGGTTTGTGGATTCAGAAATCGGTTTGACACATAAAACAATTTATATATTCGTTTACTTCGAACGAATTTCCTTTGTTACAGAAAAGCCTGCTTTTAATTCTAAAAATTGAAGAATATTATTTCACACAATGTACAGAAATTATCCATTTAATATAAATTTGCAAAATAGGTCTATACGCTGTGCTTTTATGTTATATTTGTTTTCACTTATTAAATGTTTTGTCCAGTTAAATAGAAAAGATTAAGTATATATCTTTCCAGATTCTTTGAAAAAACATTTTCCCATACCTTCCTACACAAAAGTGTTGTGTAATAGAATGTATATTGTTGTACAATTGTAGGCATATCCACTATTGTGTTTAATATATTTATTATGCATTTTTCATTTTAACTCGGATTTGCAAGTTTAAACATAAACTGAAAATGACAAATTTGTATTTACTTCCTCCAAAACAAATATTTCCAATTGTCTAATAGCATTCAACAATAAATATTTTAAATAACAGCTTATAATTTCTTTCTTGTTCTTTGAATTTGAAAAGAAAAAAATTTATTCTTTCTTTCATGAAATCGTTCCTAAAGCTTGATAAAATTAAATTCATGTAAAAATTTTGTTAAAATTGTGAAATTGTATTTGTTCTATTTTGGAAGATTGTCTTTCACAGTTAAATGATGGCAAGTGGTGTTTACATGAATGATTTCCTGGGATGAAGAAAATTTTAAGTAGGTTGACTAAATTTTGAAAATGAGTAGTGATTACTTATTTCTTTTACGATAAATATTTCAGCAAGTTTGATTTACTAATAAATTAATTGTATACTTTATAAATATTGTAGAGTGTAATAGAAATGAAGTATTCTCGTATTAATAATGTAACGATCGCAATTCTGCTGTGTCTTTAAAATAGGTCTATCGTAATTGTAACAAAAGTTTTAGTGGCCTGTATTGCAAATGAGCTCAGTACAATGTGTTTAAGATGATTGATATGTGATCAAAATTTAAAACATTTAGAAATTATTTTTTTATAAATATAATACTTGCTTACATAAGAGTTTGTAAAATTGTTAAATTGTTAAATTGTAACATTGTAAAATTTATAGGATTTGTAAAAATGATCAAATAGTTAAACTTGATCAATGTAGAGAATAATTGGTGGATTTAAAATTTTTAAATTATCATAATTTCACCAATACGTAGTTATGAATACATAATGCAATGCGTTTTTTGTTCTCTGTATTGAATACTACATATTCTTAAATATTTATAACCGTTCCTCCTCCTTTTTCATGCTGACTTAATAGGATATTTTTATCAGGCCCTCGTAAATTATGAATATGGACTTTAGTATTCTGTGTTATTATTATTTATTTATAAGATTAATAATTCTAGGTGAGGAGAGGTTTTTGGATGGCATCAGTGCCTCTCACACAAGTTTTTGATAAGAAGAAATATACTTCTCTATAACATTTTTAGCCAAGTTTGGCCTCACTATCTTGGGATAATAGTGAAATAGGATATGATTTTCAGGTTAAGTTCAATTTTTTCTGTTGCACTGCATAAACAATTATGAAAAGAAATGTTGTAGTTGTTAATATGTATAGTAGAACATTTGTGGGTGTATTTGGTCGAGCATCAACATCATTTTAAATCTAGAAACTCTAAAAATATTAATTTTCTATGGAAGTTATCAAATGATGACTTTTATATTTTGACGGTAACAACTAGATATTAATTTTAATTACATGTTCTGTCACATTTTTGACAATTATGCGACGCATTTGAAAGATTCGAATTAAGGGAATTAAATGGAATATTAAGCGTTCTGTAGTCATTAAATTGGTATACGAACGATTTCTATAATTTAGAAGTTTGTATTAATTAACCATTTGGATTTTAATCTGTCTTTATACATTTCAATATTTTTAATTCATTATCTGTCGAATATTATGAATCTCATCCCAAATTCCCACCGAGAATTTTTGCCGTAAACCAGGTGAATTTTTAAATGATTTAAAAAGAAGCTTTCATTTGATTTTGCTATACTACATGAAATTGGATTGTGAAATTAGGTTTCATTTATGAATAACTTATTTAGTCTCTTATAGACTGTTTCAAAACCTTAGAGACAGTATTTCAGTTACTATTATGATTAATGAATGGCTGTTTACATTCATAAATGTGAACTGTATCAACTCTAATGAACGGTTTTGGAACCAGTTAAGCTACAAGTTTAACACTTAGATTGCAAATCATTGAATCCATAAAAATTTTAAGTTAGGAATTGCAGGACATATTAGATTTTTGTGTTGAATGTTATGAAAATCTCTTTTATTGAATAGAATCTTAAGTTTCAATAGCACCCAAAATACTTCGTACACGAGCAAAGTCCGCTGTATATGTATACAATTAAATACAACAATAAGTATGGTTCAATGTTTCAGTGCAGAACCATAGAAAATGAACTGGTGCGATAACTTCATTAACACGTTAATGCGCTACCATAAAGTTCTATCGATTTTAGTTTGAAAGGGATTTTTATCACATAGATTTGCATTTTAGTTATAGCGAAAGCGCGTTAATGAAACACTTAATATTTAATTACCAATATTATCGAATCCAACGAATAATTTCCAACGCATTTATGCATAATTAATTGTAAAAACAGATATAATGATTATGGTAATCGAATGGTATTCATGATCAGCACAGACCATGGGATTCTGTGTTACAATGACCTATAAATTGCAGAATTGGACAAAGGTATATTACCATAATACATATGGCCGTCACAAGTCTGTTAAACATGCCAATATTATTCTTTTCTACTCAATTTCTTTATTTTTAATGAAACAGTAGAAATGAATTTGTTGATTTCTTGCACATTAAATTAAAATGTATTCATAAAATTCAACAATTTTTTTCGTTAATTTTGAAACTGATGTTTAATCTTATTTCTTAATTAGATCACCATATTAGGTATCACAATATACTTCTTTGTTTAAAAGAATTTGGGTCGAAAATAACCATTCTCCTTTATGCACAAAACAGATAAAAACCGCTACTGCATCGAAGTTCTTTGGTTCGCAGTTTATTTTAGCTTTAGATTTGCAAATAAATTCTATTATTAATCGAATTAAGATGCATCTAATATTGCTACAGGGAATTATTCCGTCCAAGGTTTTCTTATTAGAATGTTTAAAATTGTAATTACCATTACATTAATTTATTTTCTGTAACTTTTATTATTTCGAATAAATCGATTATGTATTTAAAAACCATTATTTGCTTGTACTTGTCGTTATCGATTTTATTCATTCATGGTACACGTGAATATGCACAGTACGATATGTACGATGTAATAAAAATTTTAATAAAGAACGATACAACTTTTACTTTGTACTGGATTCACTAAAAGCTTTAATAATGGAAATGACTTTTTGAATTCATTTCAGTGCGGCAAATGAAAATGCAAAATTGTGATTTCGCGAAGATCCATAGTCTAGTAAGTATTGAGTCAGTGCAAAAATGTTTTGATGGATTTTCTATAGATCATGTGGTCGTCATTGTTTTGCGGTAACAACAATTATGTCAATACATTATGTATCGATGTCAATGTAACACAGTAAATTGTTGCTTAGAAGGAAAATTGACACGATTGAACATGCTTTATTGTCTGAAATAACATAGAAAATGAGCTTTTGAAAAAGATTTTGAAAACACTGTAAAAAATATTTGTGATCCGTTCGGAGAAGTTGCTATGTTAGTTTGTGGTAAACTGTAAATTTCTAATATGATTTTATTAAATAAACTGAAAATTTGTTTATCAGAATACAAATTTCTATTCAAATGCATATGCTACAAAAGAATCATTATTTACTTCATTAAAGTATTAGTAACATGTAATTACAATTATTTGTAGTCTACTCTTTTAGAGCGTGACTTATAAAAACTTTAGCATTCACTTAATATTACTGACGTAATATATATTAATTTTGTTTAGACAAGTTAAAACACTAGAAATTGTATTGATTAAATACGAGAAAGAATAATAAAAGCAATCATTAAAAAATTTTAGATAATTAAAGTATTTAACGATTTTCAAGATATGGCCTAATGAAAAACTATAGTAAATATGCAAATATGCTTTCACTGTACAGGTCTTGAACGCGTTTTCTTTATCGTATTAAGATAGGGTGTGCGAGAAACCCTTTACAGGGAACTGTGCTTGTGTGTTACGTTCCTGTCTCTGAGTCACTGCTAGGGGTGCTTGCCCTGTAGATGAACTTAGACAGTAGGTTGCTGCCGTGAAAGACGGTGTTAACGTCGATAGTCACTATTCGAATCGTTCCGTAACCCGAATGTCAGTCGATATCTGTAAACTCGACGGCCAGGATGGGCAAGTTCTTCCAATTCACGTGCCACAGGTAAGTTCTTTTTATTATTTTAAGCGTTTCTACAAGCACTGCTTTTAATCTACGCAGACGATTTCTTTTTGCACAATTTAATAACACTTAAGGGCCACGAAATATTTTGTGTCTTTTTTTATGGTACATTGTTATTTCAGTATGAAATGTTCCGCATTTAGAATTCTGAATGTTTCATACGGACTATAGATTGTTCCAAATTATACACTGCAGGAAAAGTTTGCGTCGTTACTATGCGTACTTGTACGGAGTGTTCTTTCCACAACTACACCTTCTGATGTTAAGTAACTTACAGTTACTCGCAGAAGTATTTATATATTTCCTACGTTCAGCATATTTTAAATACTCGATTAACGTTAACGTTAAATTTAATAACTTCAATTTATGACAGTATAAAGTTTCATTAATATACTTTAGATTAGAATACTTTTAACTAAGAAATTATACATGGTGTAGTTCAGAAAGTATATGTATTGCTGAAAGTACCAGAAAACGTATATGTATACAAAATTGATCTATGCATAACAAATTGACATTTATGGTAACATTATCGGGATATCCAACAAAGTATTAAAGTTATTGCAAATAAATTCCTTTAAAATAGACACTCATTTTGTGCTGACAGTTTTGTACGCGTTCCTTTACTACTTCCACTGATAACAATACTTGTTTTTAGTATACTATGTGTAGTTTCTCAATTAAATGCATCTTAATCTAAAATATTACCATTCCTAACTTCAATATCGATTAAATGTGTAAAGTATAATGTACGTATGGGGTGGACGGATACTTCTGTGAGAAACTGTATTTTGAATTTATAAACAGGAAAATAGAGCAGCAGCTGACTTTTCTCCCGAAAAATTCAATTTTACTGTATTTGATCTTAAACTCTAAATATTATGCACGGTACGAAATCTTTTTAATGTGTGTATTATAAAATGTACTACGTAAAGACCAATGTTATTTCAATGACGTAATGATTTCTGACTCTGATATAACTTAAACAAAAACAAATACGGATGTGTGAGGATTCCACTGTTTGAATGAAAATATAAATAAGTGACAGCTATATTCAAAGTACATATGGTGACAGCCAAAAGAATTAATTAATCTAGTGTTTTCCTTATGAAGCGAGTGTATTTATATTTACATGTAGGTACATATGTAATCTAGTGACCAAAAATGTAAGACATCTTGTTTGAAAAATAATTTCATGCATTTATTCAATAAATTAGAACAGACAAACTAGGAAAACATCACTTTTAATATTCTAAGCTTTTTAAAATTTATAATTGGTCATCTGAAAGCCGTACTTTTTCCTTTTACATTTAACAAATGCTATTCTTACTTGAAAATGCATTTTATTTGTGTAGAAGTATCTAAAGAATAAGATAACTTTTTTAAAGAACCATATCAGACACCATTGTTTCCACTTTGTTAATTCGACATTTGTTCGTAACATGATATAAAGTTTCAGATCCAAAAGATAATTCTTTTGGTTGTTCAAACGTTAGCAGCCCATCAATGTTAGCCTAATGTCTTCAGCACCTTTCAAGGTAATCTAGCAAATTAGTAAGTTGAACAAGGATTTTCACAGAAAGTACTGAAACGAATTTTCGTACTATGAAACTTTCGAGTAAAATGAAACGATGGATATTAAGGAGCATGGAATCACACTCTGAACAATCTGTTTGCTCCTTCGTTCTACTTTAGTGCAGTAGCTTCTTTAAAGTTTACACTTTGACTTACTTCTCAGCGAATATCATAAAATTTCTGATTTTAGGAAGCGTTATGTCCAGAACAATTTGTCAGAGTTAAAGTTGCTTGAAAGGTTTATTTGCATTGTATTATTGAAATTTTTTATTTTTTAATTCAGGGGCATCTTTTCCATATGTATGGTTTCAAAAGTTTATTCAAGTTTCAATAGAATTTTATTACTTGTATTTTTGATTTGTTTGAATGAAGTTTTAAACTAAAAGAAATTGTTCTTTGTCCTTCTAAGTTGTTTAATTTTTCTTTCGTATCATGGTTTCATTACTAACATTCTTTTACACCTGGACCTTGTATTATAATAAGAATATTTTTATGTTTCCGAATGTTATTTACGTAGATACCTATTATCTAGATTATTAAAAATAATTTAATGTATAACATGTTTGCTGTTTCAAGAATGTGGGTCTGCTGGAAACGTATCGATACCTTATGGAGGACGTGGCAGGTAATCAATCCTAATAATTCGCAATTAAATTTACAATTAAATGGCCCTACGCATTCTTTTTATTTACTACAATCCTGTTTGTCATATCTACATGTACCACCAATACTGTACATTCTAAGGACCACACATCCATCTACATAAGAAAATAAAAATGTTGTTTATTAGTTGCCGAATAACAAGGAAGTCGTAAGGTAATAGTAATTAAAAAGAAATTGTTATATTACACACGATAATGTTACAAAACAAATTATAATATATATACACACACACATCTTTATGCTTTCTTTTTTTAATAATAACACGAAAATAACGATTTTAAGAGAAAAACCTAGTTCTTTAGGTTCGTGTTTCTGCGGTTATTTAAATAATCCGCAACGCATATGCCACAGTTTAACTACTTCCTTATAATAATCACTAGACTGCGGATGTTTACACACTTATAACACTCCTTAACTTGGAAAATGCAATAAAATAAAGATTTTAATAAAGTTTCATACTGTTTATGCGTTATTGTTGACGTAGTAAAGTCTTTAGTAGAGAATTTGAAATACTGTCCTATTTTAATTTTTAAATATTCATATCTAAAATTGTGAATGTGCATAAATTTCTCTAGTCTAATGAACTCTATAAATCGGCAATTTTTCTCAATACGTAACATTTCACTGTAAAAGTGTTCAAATCTTTAGTGTACATTTACATGCACAATTGTGTAAAAAAAAGTTGGCTTTCTCCCATTGTTTAGATAAAAGGTAATATAAAGCCGAATAAAAAGTAAATTTTAGTATCGTAAGGAACAACAAAGTGCAACTTAAACGACAATTACGTTTCATGATTATTACGAGGAAGACAATAATTAATTAAATAGAACGTTATATTCATATTTCTCCATTTTTTTTTGTCTAGATCCTAGGGTAGCGGACTGGTTCTTAATGGGCAGCCCAGTTCCATTGTTAGGAATTATATCCTTTTATCTCGCGTTTGTTCTTCGTCTCGGTCCACTTTATATGAAGAACCGAAAGCCGTTCAACTTGAACAAGGTCATGATATTTTATAACATTTTTATGGCGACCGCAAGTGCTGCAGTGTTTTATGGGGTAAGCATAATAAAAATAGCTCAATTTTAGTTTAATTATTCAACACAGTAATGAAGATTTCCGACCTTTCTGGTAAATGCAGGAAAAATTCGAGATAAACGAGACTTTGCAAGGTACTGAACATATTACACGGCCCCCTACGGTACAACTTTAATAAAGTATTTCCGTGCGACGCGTCGCCCCCATTTATGTAACACAATTATACAAAGTAATTGATATGATATTACGATTATTTACAGTGGCTAGTTTGTACTTCACTTCCCGTATTATTATGTTGGCCATTAAGTAGCACTAAATGATGTTAAAAATAAAAGCTTTATAACTATAGACATTGAAACTTCAATAGAACCTTTACTTTTGTTGATTAAATGTTCTGCTTTTACATTTTGTTATTCCAATGTTCTGCCATTTGAACATTCCTTTTCGCAAACAGACAATTTTTTTACCAGTTTGAAACATTTGTCTATTCTGATTCTATTTATAACAATTTACTCTGAAACCATGTAAATAAGAAATGAATATTAAATTCTAACAGAAAATACGAAGATGTGTGAATGAAGGTGAATGTATAATGCTGAAAACATTGCTTCATACCTGAAGTAAATTCAGTAGCAGAAAATACTCAACATTGAGACAATATTTCAGTCAATTCAAATCTTTTTTTTAATAGCAGAAGTGTTATTGATGGTCTAATTAAATTTTAATATGTTTTAATAAGTTTTTATGATTTGTTATTTTACTTAACAACTGAATATAAAATTTTCAGCTGCTTACGTCTGGCTTCACAACAAAATTATCTTTAGGATGCGAAACTCATGTTGTTTCACATGATCCTGAGTCTTATCGTGTAAGTAGTAAGCATCATGGAGAAATGTAAAAGTATCACCAGTAGAGATTATATCATAATCATAAGAGTAATTATTAACTTAAGTGATACCATTTTTAACAGATGGCACGATGGATATGGAGGCTTTTAATACTGAAACTCTTCGAGCTGGGCGATACTCTCATGTTCATTCTCAGAAAGAAGTTCAGTCAAGCATCGTTTCTTCACATTTATCATCATACATCCACGGTTCTCCTCTCGTGGATAACGTGCAAATTCGTTCCAGGTAAATCCATCATATCTCACTCACCGATTATGATCAATTTAAATCAATTAAAATCTATTATTTTATTTTTCTCTTTTCATTTCATTGGTATTCCTCTGCAAATCAATTTCGAATAATTTAATTTGCTCGACGTGTCCCAAAGCGAAATGAACAAAAAAATGATAACGAAACAAGTAACGAAGTTTTCAATAATACGAACAAAATATTTTTTTTGCTGAAATATTTCCAAACGATTCTCAACTTTCCATTCGGCTGTAAATTTCCACGATTCCCCTCGAACGAGAACCATGTTATTTGCAGGGGGCATGTGGACGTTCCCGATTATGCCAAACTGCATAGTGCACGTGATTATGTACACCTATTATCTCCTTGCCTGCTTGGGTCCAGAAATGCAAAAGAGGATCGCGCCTTGGAAACAATACATTACGGGATTACAAATGGTATGTTTCCATTTTGTATTTGACTTCACTATCTGGCATCCGTTGCACATGGTTGCCCGGAATGCATATACGTATGCGTATATGTACATGTATACATATATGTATATGTATATGTATATGTATATGTATATGTATATGTATATGTATATGTATATGTATATGTATATGTATATGTATATGTATATGTATAT